AGGAACAAGGCCCAGTGAAAAAGTGCATAGGAAACCCAGATATTTGGGTGTCGATTGTGCTAGAATCTAACAAAGCAATGATCATTTCCCGGTTGGAAGAATGTCTGTTTCCAAGCAGCCCTCGTGTGCTGTGACCAGGGCTATTAGGGTCATCGATATTTTAGTTATTTGAAACCTATCTGATTAGAGTAATGTGCCTGAAATACAGCTGATTCCAGAAAATAGCATGCTTTTCCAAATTTAGGCATGGATGTGGTGATGAATCTATGCAGCCCCCACCTTCCTCTTCCTGGGCCTTAGGTTGTGGGAGTTTCTAGGGCACCAGCCTCTCCGCAGGACGCTGCCGCACCCCAGCCCTGAGGGCAGACTGAAGACCCACTGGGACTCTGGCCTGACCAGGTCACCACTGTGTCAGGAAAGGCAGCCTGGGACACTTGGGAATGGCAGGGGGTTTAGGCCTCCATCGGGCACATACATTCGCCACTCAGCAAGGGCGCCCACTCTGACCCCAGCGGCCAGTCTCAAGCCTGCATCCTCAAAGCAGCCTCTGGCTCTGCTAAAGGTGTGGCCCTGAGCCCAGCAGCTTCCGGCTGCTGGGCAGGAGCTGCAGGGTGTAGCTCGCACTCCCAGCTGCGAGCCTTGGCTCACTGCCCCAAGGGCTCATCCCACTTCCTGCAACCCTCCCAACCACACCACGCACCAGGACAGGGTGCTGTCACCCCACCCCGCACTCAGGGAAGGGGCAGCGAGGCTGCAGAGCTTCCCCAGGCTCGGTGACACTGAGTGGCACCGCAGAGGGCGGACGGTTCTGCTGTTTCTGAGCCTGCTCTGCCCTCAGAGCGACGGTGGCCACTAAACACGGGGATGTAATGGGGAACAGGACAGTAACCCAGGGAGGCTCAGCGATCTTAACGTGGCATTCAAGGCCTTTCTCGTTGTGACCTCCGTGTTCTAGCTGGCCCTGCTCACTGCCTTTGTCCTCACAGGGTCAAGCCCCACTGAGCAGATTCCCCTAACAGAATCTGAGTCCGCACGATCTGCTTCTGGGCTTCTCCTCTCTCCCACCCAGTGCGATCTGGGACCTTTCTTTAAAGCCTCCCCCACTCCAGCTTCTGTGTGCCTTTCCCAGGCCATGACCCAAAGCCCTGTGAGCCAAGCCTGTTACAACTATGAGGACACTGTTTTGGTCTTTTTTTTTTTTTGAGACAGGGTCTAGCTGTGCAGTTCAGGCTGGCCTTGAGCTCACTTTGTAGCCCAGGCTGGTCTCGAACTCGCAATGATCCTCCTGCCTCAGCCTCCCGAGTGCTGGGATTACAGGCATGAGCCACCACACCCAGCTGAGGACACTGTTTTAATCCCGCCTGTTCTCTGCCGGCTCCCCATCACTCCAGACAGGACTTCCGGGGGTTCAGCTCTGTCTCCCCCGGGCTGCCTGAAGACCTCCAAGGTTACTCTCAGAAGCATCCCCTGTTGCCCACAGCTTCTACACAGGCTGAGCCCCGCTGGGCTGCCCAGATGGGGGCTCTCGGCCTTGAATCAATTTCCACCCCACAGCTGCTGAGCATCCAGGACGGGGAAGCAGCATCCTCTTCCCAATGACATCTTTCTGAGGCCAACCCCAACCCAAGAACACCTCCTGTGCAGTAAAATTTCCAGCTCCCACTTTTTAATAAGAATGAGGGTCCCGAGACTGAAAAACGGCTGGATGATCCGTTTCCGATTCAGTGTTGATGTTTTAGAGAGGCAAAAAACAAACAAAGAAACAATCAAACAAAAAACACCCCTGCCCAGCTGAGCACAGGGCTCTTCCAGCATGGCCACATTTGGAGAGGAGCCAGAACGCGACACTCATAAGGTCAGTTAAGTATTGGCCTCTAACGTGACATTCACGCCCTGGCAACCCACCGCCTCTCCTGCAAAGCGGAGGAGAGGATGGAGAGGACAGTGTCCCGCAGACCAGAAGGATTCATCCTGTTAGTAACACTGCCACCTACTGAGACCTTCCGCCACCCAGGGCCACTTGGGCTCCAAGTCCTCTTGGCTACAGCATGTTTCCAGAGGTCTCACTTCTCGTGTGATTTACTGTTCTGTTTGCTATTGTGAGGTTCTCCCCCCACCCCTTCTGGAAATTAATTACTGTAATTATCCAACTTTTAATGGCTGCTGATTTGGCATCTGCAGAAAATATCTGCAGAAAAATGCGCCACTTTGTTTCATTTGCATATGTGAGAGACGGGAAGGGAGAGTCAGACTGTTCCTGAATCGCTCTCTGTGACCTGACTGGAGAGCAGAGTTGCACCTGATGGAATTCATTTGCATCCTTGATTCAGCCCAGTCACCACTGTGAGATGTCCAAAGCGGGGAAGGCCTTTCCCACACAGTGATGTGACAAATCGAAATGTACCCGAAACCTCAGGCTCTTCCTCAGTTTCCAGGCACAGAAGAAAGGGCAGGATGGCCACTGTCCATCGGCCCTGTGTCACTTTTGTCAGTCACCATGGACTTCTGCAGTGTGTGTCTAGCAGTTTAACTGTCAAAACCACCACTCAGGCAGCCGGACAACCTTGAGCCAAGGCAAAAGCAATAGAACAGGTTCCAGCATGTGCGAGCCTGCACCCTGTGAGAGCTAAGAGACCCCAAACCACGCACTTGGTGAGCCTGAGCTTCAGGGGGCTTCAGACCTTCCCTTAGCTGCTGCAGGACCTCGGGGAGGTGGGGTCCTCTCCCGAGACCTAGGTCCTGGCAGAACGCTGAGAGCAATTTGGGCTTATCCAGAAGCGCCTGCCTCTGTCCCTGGGGAACGCTGAGATGCTGTGTCCCCACAGAGCATCCCCATGAGGCACAGGGACCGGTCAGATGGAGAGGACCACAAAGAGGTGATGCAGGCCCCTGCTGGCAGTGCAAGCAGGGCCCAGGACCATGACCCAGCTGAGCCACAGCAGCTACTTCATGGAGGTGCTGGCTCCGTGGGAGACAGATGCCACGTGGGGGGCCCGGCCCGGCCAGGCCCACACAGAGCAGAACCCATCCCCACCAAGCTACATACTCTCAAAGACAGGAAATCCATTGCTGGGCAGCATTATTATCATGTGACTACTACAGAGGCGCTTACATAAACTAAGGTGGCTGTGATGTCACCAGGAAACAGAATCTGAGGGCATCAGTGTCCCTGAGGGGCTGGTCACGGATGACTGCAATGGTGGGGTCATCATTCTCTTTTATCCCAGCCCACTGTGCCGTGGCTTCCTCTCCCACAGGGGCTGTGAAGTCAGCACTCCAGGATGCATGACCCTAGGTGCTGGCCCCATGACCCAGCCTCACTGCTCTGCAGGAGGAACGGAAACCAGAACGGGAAGTCTCCACGAGACACACGGACATGGAACTAACTCGGGCCTTTTTAACGCCTGCACCAAACACTACAGCTGGCTCTCAGCAGAGCAATTCAGGTCATCACTACCTCTGCCCGGCTCAGGGTGTAACAGTGCTAAAAAAAAAAAAAAAAATATCAAACCAGGGGCTGGGGATTTAGCTCAGCGGCATAAGCACTTGCCTTGTGAGCAGAGGGTCATGAGTTCAATCACCGGTACCGGTTAACAGTAAATAAATAAATAAAACCACCTCCTAAAACAGACGCCCTCCTTTTTAACCTTCTTTGCCCTGTAGAGACGCCAGGCCCCAGGGAACTGCCAGCAGCTGAGACCAAACTTAATTCCAGCCCAGCCGGAGCCCGGAGTCACGTACGTTGTGGGAATCTGTGTTTCCCATAAGTGAAGGCAGAGACAGAAACGTGCCCAGTCCAGCAGCTGTGAGATTGAACACAGCAACAGCGCCAGCTTCCCCAGGGGCCTCTTGGCCGCCTGTGGCACCTCTTCCTGTCACCACGGCTTGTGTCTGTGAAAGGCAGGCTTTTCTACACCTTCCTTGTCCCTCCCGTTTCCTCTCACGGAGATTTTATGAGGTGGAATTTCCAGACTGAGAGGATTCACTCAGATCCTGCCTGTTCTGCTGCCTCATGCCTCCCAGTGCCATCCCCAGCCCCGTGCCCAGCCTGTGCCACGCCGCCTCATGGTCAGCACAGAAGCCTGCATTCCCTGGGTCTTTCTCTCTCCTGACTGCCTGTCCCCCTGTCCCCTCGGGAGCCACAATTATGTCAATTCTGTCTCTGAGAAGCTCACCTGACTCCCATCACCAACCCTTTCTGCAAACATCAGCCAAAGCCAGGGCCACCCGTGCATGGCCTGGACTGTGGACACAGCTTCCCGCCTGCCCCCTGCTTGTCCCCCACCAATAGCTCCCAGGTGGCTCCCTATCACACAGCCACAGGGCTACTTGTCACGCAAATCCCAAAGTGTGCCATCCTGTGCTTACTCCAGAGACCCTCATGACCCTGGGGACAAGACGCCCCCATCCTGGGTGGCATCTCCCATCTGTCGAAGCCGCTTCCAGCTGGTTAACCATTGTTCACTGCTCTGCCCCATCAAAGGGCTTCCCTGAGCTCCACTCCTTAGCCCAAGTTAGCCCCACCTCCAGCTCATCGTCTGTCAGCACCCTGGTTCCCTGACAATCACCTGCGATTGTGCATTGATCTGGGAGTGTATTTGTGTGACCCCCTGCACTGTCCCAGTCTCTCTGTCTCCACCATAGACACAGCCTCTGGGGACACTCTGTGCCCCTCTGCTTAGCCCTGTGTGTCCACCAAAACACAAAGTGGTGACCTCGGCCAGCACCCGTGGTCAGGGCATGCTGGTGCCACCAGCGCCAGGGCTGTGCAAAGCACTTGGCCACTCCTAAATGTGCAGTCATTCTCGGCCACATTCTGGTCACTTGTGGCTTTGAGAAGATCACTGCACCAACAGAAGTGACTCGCCTTGAATGGCTTCGGGAAGGTGGCACAAATCAGTCGAGGGTCCCTGAAAAGGGCCGAAAGAGGGGGAGCCTTGTGCCAGAGGAAACTGGAAGACCAGCCAGGGGACACAGGAGAGGTGCGCGTGAGCAGGTACCTGTGGGTGGTCCTCGTGGCGCAGCCGGGGCAGCAGCCTCACCATGATGCACACAATCCCAGGGTGCATGATCACGGCGTCCCCCTCATCCGGCCTGCGGGGAGAAGGAGAGCGGGGCATCAGGCAGGACTCGCTGGACTCTCCTCAGTGTCATGGCGCCTCTGGATCTTTCCTTCTGAATGGTCTATGACTCATGTTCCTACCCAGGTGACCCTTCTGAGCCCACTTTCCCCAGCTGTACCACCAAGGCCACGTGCTGCAGCTTCCTCCAGAGATGCAGAGCAGGGCCCCGGGCCCAGCATGGAGCCGAAGCTCAGAGGAAGTCACTTCTGTGGCCTCTTCCCTTCGCTCCAGGTGTGAGGGAGATCACAAAGGTCACACACACAGTGTGCCCCTGGATGCCATCACAATGAGGAGCACACACTGTCCTGTTCCATCGAATGTGACTAAAACACGTTTGCATCAGTAGATGAACGGGGGGGGGTGTACAGGAAATGAGCTATTTGCACACAATGAAGTACTACTCTGCCGTTAAAAAGCACCATTGCTGCTGCTCATCCAGGACACAGGAGGAGCCCTCGGAGATGCCCCTGGCCTCGCCTCGCTCTCCCACCACCTCTGGGTGACTCCCACAGAAGCGGCAGAAACAGGCAGCTGCCAGGCAGCCTCCTACTGCCCCGGAGGAGATCCGCGTGCCAAGAACACGGGTCAAACCGCCGTCCCATTTTCCCTCCCCTGCTTGTCCAGCGGAGACAGATACAGCGCTGTGGGAGAGCTCAGAAACGGAATCTCCTCCCTCCAGCTTTTCAGACAGAGAAGGAGAAAGGGGACCTGGGAGGTGAGAAAGCGTAAGGGGAGGACGAAGAGGAGGAGGCTGAGCACAGCGCGCTCACCTCTGCACTCAGTCCTGACCCTGGGCGGATCTCAGCGCAACAGGGAGAAACATTTCCCAAGGCGGTCACTGCACAGGCGAGCGGGGGGCACAAGGTGTGATGGAAATGTGCAGGTCACTTCTAATTTCACAAATGCATGCCGTGAATCCCCTCTACATACTGCTCCTCGGACACACCACCCATTGCCCTCCTGCCCCGGGGCAGCTCTGGAACTCCTCTTCCGGGAGTGTCTTTATGTCAACTTTTTTTTTTTTGTCTTTTTTCCTTTTTATTGGTATCAGGGACCGAACTCACGACTGCCTGCTTGCAAGGCAGGCGCTTATGCCGCTGAGCTAAATCCCCAGCCCCTTCCGTGAGTGTCTTTAAGAGATGTGATTTAAAATACTGGGAATGCGGCTCTAACTCCCTTCCAACAGAAAGGTGGGCTCACAACGTGTCCCCACCACCTACTCAGCTGACCTGGCACCCTGTGGCTGCTGGATCTTCCCAAAGCCAAACTATCCACGACAGGGACACATTTTGAGGCAGCCACACCTGAACAACTAAAGCCACTCAGGAAAGAGGACTCCAGATCTGCTTCTGAAGTAGTTCTCTATCACAATTCACACTTCAGATCGCTCTAAAAGTTCTTCAAAAATCATCCCAACACCATAACCATGGACTGACAGGTGGGCAGAAACCCACCTACGCCGCTAACCAAGCTGGGTCAGTTGTCTGCTCAAACAAAATCAATATTCTCCATAAGACGCTAACACCAGTCAGAGCTGATCAGAGACTGTCCATCACACAACCTAAAATTGCTCAGCATAGAATAAAACAGAAAATATCAGTATTTCACACGGAAAAAGATCAATGCTGAGACGAGGCAGATGTTGCAATTGTCTGACAAAACCTTAAAGAAGTTCTTAATAACCAAACCCCAAGGAAGAAGAATGAGCACTTTTGAAATGAATGGAAAGACAAAAAGTCAGTCAAGAAACAGAAGGAATGGGAAAAATCAACTGTAAATCAAAGGACTAGAGAATGGAGTGATCTAAATTTTTAAAAAATCTCACTGAATCAGAATAAGAGAATAAAATGAAAGAGAAAAATCCATGAATTTGAAGACAGATCAATAAACATTGCTCAAACTATACAACAAGAAGGAAAAAGATTTTATAAATGGAGAGTCTCAAAATCATTCATCACAATATCAGTGCGTCTAACTTTCCAATTACCAGGGTCACAGAAGAAGGGAGAGAGGTGAGATACAGAAGACAATTATGACTAGTAAATTTTTTTTTATTTAAAGAGAAAAAAGAAAGGAAAAAAACAAAGCAGTAAGAGGGTTTAAGTAATACAGAACTTCAAGAAAAAAAACACATAACAAGAAATCACCAGTTAATAGACCACACACCGCCATCTTAGAAACAGTTGTCCAAATTACAAAATTAAAGCATACAAAGTGGACATTCATACAGTGAGATTGCAGACAGTTCTGTTCAATGATCCAACAAAAACTCAGTAATATGGTTTTCTATCCTACACACTTAAATATACATGCAGTTATGTCCTTTAGACCACTTTCTTTTCCTCCCTTTTTTACAATAGCAATTACACTTTTTGGGTTTTATTACTCCCACAGTTCTTATTACTTTTTTTTGAAGAGAATAAAACCAACTGTGACATAACAAAACAGAGTCAGTTAAAACAGAAGGATGGGCATAGTACATGATGCAAAAATAGAATACCAGGTGATCAAAAGTGGTTACCATCGTGCCTCTTGCTATTTTTAAAAAGAGTTGCCTATATCATCAGGTATAATAGAATTGACCAAAACAGCACAAATCAAGACCAATAAAACCTACAATGGAAACCTTACAGGACTTCGAAAGAAGATAATAGTCAAACCATAATGGGCATCATAGTAAATCTTATTGCCTTCAAAGTGGTTGCCTATACCCTCAAACTTGATACTATCAAACAAAATAGAATATTGTAAAATCAGACAGAATAAGATGGGGAGAGCAATACTGGGGTTCAAATCAAGTTAACAGGAAAACAAAAAAAGTTACTATAATATATCCTGCTATTTTTAAATTTAGTTTTCCCTTAATTGAAAAAAATAAGAAAAAATAAATTAATTTTAAAAATGGAGAGATTGAGATAAAAGAGGATATTGTAACAGAACAACACAGGTCAGAACTGAACAATTTAAGCATCAATGTGTTTCACCACCAGATAATCTAACATAATAGTAGTCACCATAGTGTCTCTTTCCTTGAGTTATTTGAGTATAACTTCGTATACTATAGTATCAAACATATCAAGACAGTGTGAAGTCATTCAAGAGAATGAAAGAATTACAGGATATTTAGAACCAGCTAACAGAAAACGAATAATAGTTTCTATATTATCACTTTGCCTATAAAAAATTTTGTTTATACTATCACATATAGTAAAATATAATAAGATACAACATGTTAAAAATTTTTACATGCTGTCATCAAATTTAGTAAAACACATAATCTTAAAGATGCAAGAAGCTTGGAAAATTTCAAACAAAATAAACACAGACAGCCCTGCCAGCCACATCTTTGATAAACCCAGAAACAAGGAGAAATCTTGTAACCAGGAGACATCTTTGTAACCCTGCCATGCGCCAGGAGCAGTCGAGCAGCCTGGAGTGAACCAGGAAGCACCCTCCTTCCACCAGACAAGCAGCCAGCATGTGGGCAGGGCGAGAAGGTTCCCCACAACCCCTCACCTCCACCCCAACCAGCTGACTCGGAAGAACACGGGCCGAGAAGATAGCAACTGGAATAAAGAAAGAACTTAATGCTTGTATTGCTTGATCAACTTTGCAGACCTAAAGCTGGTAGTCTGAGCATCTATTTAGAGGATAACAATATGCAATATACTAACTATTGTGGATTTCCTACTCTCTTGTTTCTGAAGTCTAATATCATTATTATTGTTTTACTTTGTTTCATTTCATTGTTTTGTTTTATTAATAATAATAAAATAGAGGAAATCTTGAAAGCAATGAGAGAAACAACACACTGCAGACAGGGACAGTGGTTTAAAGATAGTAGATTTTCTCCTGAGAAAGCACAGGCAGGAGAACAGGATTTTTAAAGTACTCCAAGTAAACACACAGAATTAATTCGATATTGTGTCAGTCTGTTTTGCATGACTGTAACCAAACACCAGAGTAAAACAGGTTAGAGGAAGAACAGTTTATTTGGGCTTACCGATTCCGAGGTTTCAGTCCATGGTAAGCCTTGGCTTTTAGGCCTAGGGCAAGGCAGAACATCATCATGCAAGGGGGTGGTGCAGGAAGGCTGCTCAGCTCGTGGCAGCCAGGAAGCAGAAAGCGGAAAGGCAGAGAGGAAGCAAGGGCCTGGGAACAAGACGCATCTTCCCAGGGGACGCCCCAGTGACCAGAGATCCGATTGAGTCCGCCACCTAGCCGCGCATCATCCCATGAACAACTCATCAGTGGGTCAACTGATGCAGGCAAAGCCTCGAAGGCCCAGCTACCTCTCCGGCCCCGCCTCTGAACACTGCTGCACTGGGAGGCAAGCCTGCAACACAGGGGTGTTTGGGGGACACGACATTTAAATCATAACGTGCACCCAACAGCAATGAGAGCAAGACTAAATCATCCCCATGGGAAGACAAGGAGTTCCTTGCCATCAGACTCATCCTAAAAACAGCATGGAAATGGTGAATATTTGGATACATGTACACACTATCTTTTCCTCTTAAGTTATTAAATACGTGCATGACAGCTGAGGCCCGAGGTACTAAATGCCACACGGAAGACAGCACAGCACACATAGGGGAGGGCCAGGGCCCATGCAGAGGGAAGCTTCTGCTAATCCACTTGAAAGAGTAAATACGAACTCTGCATAGACGGCTGACAATTCAGTATGCAGACCGGAATCCTTACCGCAAACACAAAGAACACTCGTCAGAGAGAGGCAAAAATCCAACAGACAAATTCAAATGGAAAACTAGAATATGCTCAGACGACCTACAAAAAAGCAGGAAAAGAGAATCAAGGACACAAAAGAGAGGGAGCAGAGAAAACTAATAAAAAGTAAGACTGAATTCAAACAGATCAACAATTACATTAGATTACATGCATATATACATATGAAAAACAATTACATTAAATTACAGATATATAGTATAGTATAAATAAAGACCAAATTAT